CCGGGTGTCTTGATTCTGGCCAGAGGATGTTCTCTCCCCGCTCTGCAGCCACTGCCCTTTCCTGCCTTCAGGAGGAGGAACATGTCTGGAGTGGCCAACATCACTGTTGACTGAGTGGCCAGTCCTCAGGTCCCCCTGTCACTTCGCAGAACTGATGGGGGTTTGGGTGAGGGGAGCCCACTGCCCTGTGTCCCATGCTCTGCCTCAGGCCCTGCTGAGCTGCAGTTCCTGCCAGGGGGGTAAGGGAAAGTGAATTCCTGCTCTAGGACAAGCCCACCTCAGGTCAGGGCTACTTGAGGTAAGGCCCGCTGGGAAGGATCATGTGTTGCTGTACTAGAGGAATGGGCCACTCGGGGACAGCCCAGGGGTTCTCCTGGGGAGAGCAGAGTGGTACAGGAGACCCTGGGGTTAGGAGTGAGCCAGGTGAGGAACATCTGAGACTTAGACTGAGGGCCAGAGCCTGCGTTCCCCCAGCTGCTCACCTTGCAGATGCAAATTTGGGATGGATGCCGTCTTTAGGGCTTGGAGTTACAAGCTTCCCAAGGCTTCTTCACCCACAATTTATTCCTGTGCTTATTCCCTCAGACCTTCATCTGCTTCTTCACCATCAGCATCGATCCCTGGAGAACAATGTTTCAGCTCCTAAACAAGACCTGCCTGGAGGGGACCTACTGAGTGATATCACGCTCCCGCCCAGCCTCTCTAGCCCCCTCTCGGTAGGTGGCCCTTGACCATGGTTTTGAATCCTTAAAGGTTCTCCTTGTCATAGACTCTCTTTCAGAATGCAACCAGCGATGCCATTTTCATTTGGGCTGCAGACATGAACAATGAAAACATTCGCCCGAAGGAGCGCTTCTGGCTCTGTGTGTGTGAGTGTGTGAGTGTGTGTGTGTGCGTGTGTGTGTGTGAGTGAGTGTGTGTGTGAGTGTGTGTGTGTGTGTGCGTGTGAGTGTGTGAGTGTGTGTGTGTGTGTGTGTGTGTGTGTGTGTGGTGTCGGGGGCATTACTCTCTCACCCTCTGGACCTCTGCACTGAGAGTCCACATGAAGGGCAAAGGGTCCCCACCCTCACTGACCTTAACCCTCTGTGACACTGGTTCAGGCACCCTGGGCTCTCTCAGGCTGGACCTCTGGTGGGGATTTTTATATCCAGAGTCACAGACTGAGTTTGGGTGCTGGGGATAATGGAGTGGATGCCGTGGGAGACGATGGAATAAAATGAGTAGAATGGAGTGGAGAAGAGTACAGAACGTTTCACAGTGCACTTTGTAATAGAAGTTGTTTCTTGAAGCCATCGTCGTGTGTGTGTGTGTGTGTGTGTGTGTGTGTGTGTGTGTGTTGTGTGTGTAGCATCGTATGGCATTTTTCTGATGTTGGGCAGGTGAAGGGTGTGACAATGGGGCTATAGATGAGTCTCCCACTCTGGGGTTGAGATGATCAAGCAAACTCTTGCAGGGCCAACACCCTCCCAGCCACTTGTCACCTCTCTGGGAATGCTGTGGAAGCAGGAAGCATTGAAAAGAAAGGTGGGGTCTCATTTGGCGTTTGCAAATGTGAGGCTGCAGTGTGTGGTATTAATAGTGTGTGATCAGCTTGCTTTTACCCCGGAGGCTCCACCGGGCTATGTGCCTCTTTGTCCAGAACACCCCAAGTGTAGCTTTAACACAAGTGTGCTGATCCAGACCCAGAGGGAAGCCCCGAAGAGAGTAAGGTTTGGGCCTGTTCCTGCACTCCATGTGTCACCACCAGCAACTACTTAATGGGACCACGAGGGATGTTTCCCCTCTAATGTCTATATGTTCCACAGATAGAGACCCTGATGGCTTTCTCCATGGAGCTGAAGCTTCGCAGAACCAGGTGTGGGAAATTTGATGAAGACATTGACAACTGCCCCTTTGAAGAAAACCCAGAGCTGAACAACGTAAGACACACATGAGCCTCCTTCAGGTTCCAGAGCTGTGGACCTGCATAGGGGTGTTGTGGGGGGTGGGGCAGAGGACATACCATTCCTAGGGACACAAGAGTGAAGGGGCTACTGGCCCTATGACAGCCACTGCTTCTGCTAAAGACAGAGCCCAGCCTAGCAGGTAAGCCCCAGGATCCACTTGCAGGCCCATGGCCAATGTGAGATCCTAACTGTCCACTCAACCTGTTCAGCTGTCTGAACCTCGGGCCATACCGGTGACAGATTGTTCCTGCCCCTAACGGTCCGGGTGTCTTGATTCTGGCCAGAGGATGTTCTCTCCCCGCTCTGCAGCCACTGCCCTTTCCTGCCTTCAGGAGGAGGAACATGTCTGGAGTGGCCAACATCACTGTTGACTGAGTGGCCAGTCCTCAGGTCCCCCTGTCACTTCGCAGAACTGATGGGGGTTTGGGTGAGGGGAGCCCACTGCCCTGTGTCCCATGCTCTGCCTCAGGCCCTGCTGAGCTGCAGTTCCTGCCAGGGGGGTAAGGGAAAGTGAATTCCTGCTCTAGGACAAGCCCACCTCAGGTCAGGGCTACTTGAGGTAAGGCCCGCTGGGAAGGATCATGTGTTGCTGTACTAGAGGAATGGGCCACTCGGGGACAGCCCAGGGGTTCTCCTGGGGAGAGCAGAGTGGTACAGGAGACCCTGGGGTTAGGAGTGAGCCAGGTGAGGAACATCTGAGACTTAGACTGAGGGCCAGAGCCTGCGTTCCCCCAGCTGCTCACCTTGCAGATGCAAATTTGGGATGGATGCCGTCTTTAGGGCTTGGAGTTACCAGCTTCCCAAGGCTTCTTCACCCACAATTTATTCCTGTGCTTATTCCCTCAGACCTTCATCTGCTTCTTCACCATCAGCATCGATCCCTGGAGAACAATGTTTCAGCTCCTAAACAAGACCTGCCTGGAGGGGACCCACTGAGTGATATCACGCTCCCGCCCAGCCTCTCTAGCCCCCTCTCGGTAGGTGGCCCTTCCTTCCGTGGCTGAGCAGCTCTGAACTCACTCTGTTCTCTGCCTTGCAAATATCTGGAGCCTCACACACGGGCATTGTGGAAATGCCTCGGTGTCCATTTTCTTTCATGTAGAATAGTCCATTAAACATCAGCATTTCAAAAGGCGCTGTGTGCACGGTTCCTGACCGAGGGGGATGGGCAGTTGCTGGGCAGCTCGGTGGCCCAAGGGGGTGGGTCATCTCTCCCCTTGCACCTCCTAAGCCAGCTCCAGGTGGCACAAATAAGGCGCCTCTGAGCGGCTAGCTCAGGGCTCATGAGGGATAACCATGTCCCCAGAGGGGCAATGACCATGACCAAGGTGGGGAACCCTTGTCTGAAGGATGGACGCAGACAGGGCCTCAGGCCCCTCAGGACACATGTGGCCTCTGTTCGGGGGTCTTGCTCACACACATTTCCTGGTCCGTGACAGCTGGGACAATGGAGGGGGGGGGACTCTAGCCTCCACTCAAAGAGCAAGCAAGGCCAGTGGCAGCGGCAACGGCAGCTCTAAGACCCTTTTGGAGATGTATGTTCTCAGGGCCTGCACCTTTGGACCAGGAGACTGCATTTTACAAATCCCTAGGGAACCCAGGGCCAGTTAAAGACTGAGAGGCACTGACTGCTGTGCCAGGTGCTATTGGGACTCCGGCCAAAATGCCTAGAACAGGATTTGGCAAACTTTTTCGGTACAGAGGAAAAGAGTCACTCTTGGGCTTTTGTGGGCATGTGGTCTTCTCCGCTCTGTAATGTCACCTTGTGTCTGGAAAGCACCAGGGGCAATGAGAACACAAGCAGGGGGGTCTTCTTCCAATAGGACTTTATGTGTATAGACAGGCAGAGGGTGGGTTTGGCCCAGAACCAGTACCCTGACACTAGGTGCCCCACCCACCCCTGCAGCTGGGAGGTCCAGGAGCAACACACTGGGAACAGGGTTGGATCAAGAGCTGAAAGCATCTATAGTAATACAACTGCAGGTTATGTGATAATAAGAAAAATAATTCAACATAAAGCTCTAATACCTATGAACCTGCACCCAAACAACATGTAGAGCTGGAACAGCCAACAGAATCATTGGTGCTGTTACAGGTCAAACCAGCAATTCCACAATCATGTTTGAAGCATCTTACACATCTATCAAGGATGATATCA